ACGAGATAAAACATAATACATAATTTCGAATGATTGCAAAATCCAAACCAAATGTAATTATACATACGATAAACAACATAACAGTCTCGTCGTCAAGCCGCGGATCTGGGCGGAGTCTTCAACTATGTAGCCGCGTGACATGCCGCTGAAACAGAACACCGCACCGAGATTCTTGGGCGCAAACTACCTCCCACACGCCCCTTCGCAAGCCGTCCGCCAGCCACGATCAACACCCGTTGAGGTTCGTCAGCTGCTACGTCTCTCCCAGGGTTGCCGCTCGCGTCACCGAGGCCAATGCTCCTAAAGGTATATTCATGTTTATGTTATTTATCGAAATGGGATTTTCCATTCATCGAGCTCTTGCAGTGCGAATATATGTTTAGATATACTATATGTATACATTAGATAAACATGATCTGATAGTTTCTATAATATTAATCATTTATTTTTACATAAGATAAACAACATATAAACAACACTAGATCGGGATAAAACATAATTCACAACTCCAAATGACTACAAAATCCAAATCGAATGTAGTTATACATAAGATAAACAACAAATGTGTACTTTACATAATATTTACAAAGTTCAACCAACAACTTTGCACACTCCAAAAAATAACACAATATACATTGTGTATAACTAACATATACTTTGTGAATATGTTTACTACACTCTTTCGAACGAACATTTAAAGTGCGGACATGTCTTGGCTACTTCGAATGAACCTCTTGGCGACACTGTCAGGTTGCCATGTCGAACGGCGGTCGACTCATAGACCGAGTCCTCGATGGTGATGGTGGACGGGGCTGCTGTAAGGAACTCGACTCGGTTGGGCACGTGATGGCGGGTTGTTCACTCGGAGAACCGTCGATGACTCATAGAAGGGCTGCTTGAAGGACGAACGGTGTTGCTGCTCCTAGCGTGAGCTTTCCGGATGAAGGGGAGAGATGTGAAGTGGAGGCCGTCCGATTTGTATGGCGGCGCGCACAATTCGGGAACTACGCTTTTCCTCCTCCGTCATCTGCACCGGCATGCCGAACCTCTCCGCATGCTTCATCTTCTTATGGATATCGGTGGCAAAAGCAACGCCGTGTCGTGGAGAACAGAGGATTCACCCTTTGATTCGACGACGCTTCCGCCGAAGGATGGCGACATCTGCTTCGATGGGTGGTCTCCGACGGCCAGAGGTTGTGTGTGTGTGTGTGCGAGAATACCTTTTGGGTCGATGAAGTTTTACGCAAAGATGAGTTCGGTTGTTCTGTATATGAGAGATGAGAGATAAAGTTTTTCTTTCTTTTTAGAGATGAATTTCTGTGCCATATAACTGGATATGGAGAGAGATAGATTGATTTCTTTTCTAATTAATAATTACACCAAATTAGCGATTAATTAGGCCAAATAACCACCTGGACGTATTTTTTATGAATATTTTTGCTACTCGTAACTATGATATTATTTCTATAAGTAAATGTAAGGGGAGTAAATTTACACAAATTACATTCTATATAATAAATAATATCATATTTACGATATCTCAATTTTTTCATTATAAGTACGTGATTTACAAATTAAATAAGATTTGGTGTTGTTAAAAGGGTCTAATTAACCGCCAAG